TTGTCATAAAAATAAAAACAAACTTACCAAAAGTATCTAGAACTTTTAGTAGGCACTAAATAAATATTAATGCTCCCCCTTAATAACAATATCTGAATCCACATAAGTTACAAAACAATTTGTACTGACAGAAACTGTTTCTATCTTGGAGATTAAAATGTTGAGAAGGGGTAAAAAATTATACATAAACAAATAATTATACAAATGCAATATATGTTACAAATATATCAGTAAGAGAAAAATCAGCCTCATGCTTGTACAACAAAGTTCCTATTATATATAAATCTAGATAAAGATCCATATAGTTCTCCAATATAACTTTATAAATTAGAATAGTGATCTAACTGCTTGTCATTAATAATAATCTGAGATCATTGCATTGTTTAGTTTCCTTTAATTACTATTCCAAATTTGCTCAATACATAGAAAGTAAAGAGGCCTGACAAAGTGATGGTACTTAAGGAGAACATATTAGTTTGGAGTGAACTCAGAAGAGATATGAAATGTGACAATGGCTGAATCTGTGTCATTAGAAAGTCTCTATATTGAAACAAATAAAAAGGAGATGCTTGAAAATCTTTCCTTTGTTCCAAAGCAAAGCAAAAATTTAAAAAACCTTAGTGATAGCTGAAACGATGGTTAACCGGTATAAGAGTATATAGAAAGCGATTCTGTGATTCTGAAGGAAATATAATTCAAGAGAAAGCCAGAACTCTGCACAAACCATTTCATGAAGTAAGAGGTGGTATGGCTGCTAGGGTGGCTACTGACCAGTTTGTTACCCAAACTGATTAGAAGAGTCAAAAGCATTTTTCTTTCTATAATGTGAAGTTAACAAAAGAGCCCCACCAACTGACAAGGCAAACTTGGGATATCCTCCCAAGCTAGGCATTCTGAGAGCAGAAGGGACACAAACTACAGAAGTCTTGAACTCCAAGCAGACAACATACCCAAGAAACGGTAGCAAGCAGGAACCACTGCAGTGATCAAGGACTAACTCTTCGCCTTTGTTACAGTGCTAGAAATACTCTTGTTCAGCAAACCCCAGAACACAAGTGTCAGGAATAAGAACCTTGCATGTATACTAATGACATAATGCAAAAACAGCAGCCTTCATTTTGGAAGCAAAATATGGTTTAACAACTTTAATGACTAGAGTCCTATTATACAATTGTTAAGGGTCTAAAGGAATCACTTCAATTTGACTGGATTTTATAGAGCTAGTTATGTCCTAGATCCACAAAGGTTTCAAGAAATGTCACTTGCCAATATCAAGGGTCTTGTGAACATTGTTTTTCTTTTTATTTATTGATTTGAGAGACAGAGAGGAGGAAGGGAGGAAGGGAAGGAAATGGGGGAAAGGGAGAGAGTGAGACAGAGAAAGAAAGAGAAGCATCAACTTGTTGTTCCACTTATTTATGTATTTAATGGTTGTTTCTTGTTTGCACCCCAACCAGAGTTGGAACTGGCAACCTACTGAACTACCCAGGCAGGGCCTGAATGTTATTTTTCTGTCTTCATCTAACTTAATATCATACCGACTACATCCACAGAGGATAAGCCATTTAAAAGCAATCTCATTCGCAATGATAAAATTTTAAAGATACTTTTCTAAACCAATGTAAAAAACATTTTTATATACTAAATGCCTCGAATACAAATATTCCAGTATTGAGCCCTGGATGGTGTGGCTCAGTGGATTGAGTGTCGGCCTGTGAACTAAAGGGTCGCCAGTTCAATTCCCAGTCAGGGCACATGCCTGGGTTGTCGGCCAGGTTGCCAGTATGGTCATGCAAAAGGCAACCACACATTGGTGTTTCTCTCCCTCTGTTTCTCCCTCCCTTCCCCTCTGTCTAAAAATAAAATAAATAAAATCTTATAAAAATAAAAGAATAAAAATAAAAAGTGGAGAGGCATTCATTTCAGGAAAATGTGTGACTTGGGTCTCAATTGTAGTACTGAAAGGTGTGTCTCAAGTATTTGTTACTAATAATAGTTACACACTTTTTTCAGTTGACTCACTTTCCTCAATAAATCACAGTAGATTCAAGCTTATCCCTATAATGACATCAATTTCAATCACTTGTATTCTGATATGCTTTCTTAAGCAGAAGAAAACAAGATGGAATTACCAAGAACATGGCGAGAAACTGCACTTTAGTGTATGTCACATACGTAAATATCTTTACCGGATGAGAAAAAATATTGAGAATCATTTACTTAGACTGCAAAATCTGTTTTACTGCTGGATGAGGCAATAAAGACTATCTGGTTCAATTCCTAACTCCTCACTCAGTTCAGTGCCTGCTTCATGACACCCAACAAGTATAGGCTGGTCTGTGCATTGAAACTGAGTGTTTTTAAGAATTAAAACCCTATAGTTACAGAACAGACATTTTGAAATATGGATATTTATTGAATATTGCTCCTTAAAAATTAATCATACATAAGCAGGAAGCAGAAAACATTCAACTAAGAGTTCTATGTATTATTACATTTGAAAATACAGTTTAAGTTTTAAACAGATTAATTAAATGTGGTTTAAGGTAGAGAGGTACACTACAGATTTAATATTTAGTTTTCCTATACCACTTTTAGGCAAATAGTTGTGGTGTAAATGACAGGAATTTTGGGAAACAATCTAACAATAGATGATAATCTAAGGTGCAAGAAAAATAATTCAGGAATTCAGACAAACTAGACATATTTTGAGGTTAAAAAGCACTTAAATTTGTGACTATCCCTACTGAGAGAGTAATCAAAGAACTATACAAGAACAGCTAATTGCAGGTATTTCTATTTACTATGCCTATACAAATGCAAATATCATTCAATTTAAGTTCACTTACTGTAATTATTTTAATTTCCTAAGTTTAAAATTTAGGGACTTATAAGATGTTAGAATAAACACAGTTAATACTAGGACAGATAAAATTAAAGCGGAAATTGAGAACATTCTAAATTTAGGCATTTTACCTACCGAACTTTTCAGACCATAAGACACACCTAGGTTTTAGAGGAGAAAAATAGGAAAAAAATTTGAAGCAAAAAATCTGGTAAAATATTTAATAACATAAATAAATATTTCACCAATGTAAATGTAAACAGAACTCAACAGCAGCATTAACAACCATTATTCCTCCCAAATGGGGGAGGTGTTGTGTCTTATAGTCTGAAAAATACAGTGCATTGTCTCATTTCTTCTTCATAGCAACCATGTGAGGCTATTTAATCATCCCCATCTTACAGATAAGGAAACTGGTTTCAAGAGATTAAATAATTGCGCAATACCCTACAGAAGAATTTCCAGATCTCTAACGGAAACTCAGATTATCTAGCTAAAAAAAAAAAAAAGAATATATCACTACATGCTGTGACCTAGCAAGAAACACCTCCATTAAAATTGCCAGTCTTGTAATTAAAACCTTGTAAAGAAGGAGACAATGTCAAGCTTATAGTAAGTGGTAATGATGTACAGACTAAAAATTTATCATAGTTTCCTAAGTATATATGAATGTTTCAGAAATAATTCCAAACTATGCATGACGTTAAATTTTAAAAAGCTGAATACATAATATCCCAAAAGTGAAATTTGAAAATTTTTGTAGAAAGGCACTAAATAAACTTTATCCTACCTATATATTTTGAATTCTAAAGAAAAACTTGAGAGGCCCCATGTTGTGTCAGTCATAAAGCAATTTCATATGGGTAACTAGGATTATATTTATATTTATGAAATAAAAAAAGTAGATCATTGCTTGGGTCTGATTCTATTGTCCTGACTTTAATATATATCCTCTATTTATTCTTTTCCATTTTTCTTCCAGATTTTGGAGAGCTCTTCTAATTTAAGGAAACTGAGTCTCAAGTTCAGGAACTCCTGCAAGTTTAGATGCAAGTGCAGATATACTGCAATGAAAACCATAAAACTGCAATGATTGACAAAATATTAGAGAAAAAAACCAAAGTTTCAGTTATTTTCCAAAGCATTAACTATAGTGAAATTATTGGTGGTGACTCTAGGGTTTTTTTATTGAATTTATTTTAAAGCATTTAACTTTCATAATAAAAATTAAAGAGAAAGGTGAAAAGGAAAGACAGAGGAAGGCAGGGAGAAAAATACCTACAGCTATGATTAAAAAAAATCTAAACATCTTATTCTTTCCAAAGTTCCAAAACTGTTACTTGCTTCATCACATTTCTCTCAGTGATGTAGTAAATTAACCATATATAAACATGCCAGAGACAAATGAGATATGAAAAAATGAGTTAATCCAAAGATCTATAAATTCTGAGACATAGCTCTTAATTGCAATATTTAAGAAATTAGCTATAAAAATTAGGTAAGTATGAAAAGCAGATTTAGGGTAAACAAACTGAAAAACAGGATTCAAATACTTAAGAATATAGAAATTTCCTAAGTATGGAAAAATTACAAATACAATAAACACATATGTGAACTTAGAGCCATTTCACATTTTATTATAAACTGAAGAGAACTTATATATTCAAATATTCTTTAGCTACACCATGAAACAATACCCAACAAAGTTTTGAGCACTATGAAATCTAATTACCTCCTTTTCCATGAAATAGTTCTTTTAAAAGTTCACACATCTAAGCTTTCTTTTTCCATTACCAAACCACATTCTTATTCCAAAATAACATCTTTAGATTGATCCAATATATTAAGTATATTACCAATACACTGAACAATTTATAGTCCCCTGAACCTGTCTTCAAAAGAACATGCTTATTTAAAAATCAAGTACAAAACTAGAATCTATTAATGCAGGAGTCCAATTTCAAAACAAAACTTTTATTTGTATAACAAGTTCATTAATTTTCTTTTTTTTCTGATTATCAAAATGCAATTTAATCATCTGGACCTTGATTTAGAAAGCTGATGAATTCTTACAAGATTGTTCTATAAGTCTCATGGAATTAAGTAACTATAGGTTTCGTAAACACTACTCCCATCTACAAATGGAAATAATCACCTTAATATTCTGGTACATGTATTTATGCTGGTTTTCCAACTTGACCATTTCAGTTTCTCTGTTCCTTAAAATTTATTGCTGTGTAGGTAGTTGGGTAGTTACTGAATAATTTGAGTTTTCTGCATTGCTTGAAATTTTTCATAGTGAAATACTGGTGGAAAAGAAATGGCAAATGTGAAATGGTCAAAGACCAGAGTTATGGTTAACTAATGATTGAAGATATCTCGAAGTGATTTTTCTATAATAAGCCTGGACTATTTCTTCCAAACTACTGACATCAACATTTGAAGTAGTGCAGAAGTTACATTAACAGGACCCTAAATAACATTACATGTAAATGTTTAATGCTACTAACCATCAGTGCGGAAGAAAAACAGATCTTCACCAAACGTCTTTCATGGAAGAAAACAGGAAATATTTCCACTACGTGCAGGTACTCTTTTAATACATTCCCAACACCTTTGGAAACATAGTTCCCTTGGTTCAAGAACATTAGCAAGAAAAAAGTGTTCCTGGGTTACAAAATACATAATACTCAGCCTTCCTTTGCATTGATTCACAAACTTGTGGCTCTTCACAAATGTCTTTGTTAATACCAAATAGGTATACCAGGACTACAACACTGTACTAGTAAAATAATTCTATTTTTGCAATAGGGTTTTTTTTCTTAATCCTGTCCCCATTCCATGGGATGAAAAGCACTTTCTAGTCTTTAACCACGAAAATGGTTTTGGTCTATTATTGCTTTTTACGTTATACTTTTATATACAATGGCTCTATTTGAGAAATTTTTTATTATCATAAAATACCCAAAGAAAGAGAGAGAAATGGTATACTATCCCCTTAGAGTAGATGATGTCAAAGTGACGGTGAGATCACAACGATTGTATGCACTCCTTACGAATTAAAAACTACTGAAGCTTCTTTTTAACCATAAGGCAAAGAAAAACCAAAGACTACATTTCTTAATAATTGTTTAGATTTGGGATTGAACAGCAATTCCAAATGTGCTGGGATTTCCTAAAGGATATCACAAATGCGCGAAGTAAAAAGCAACAACACAATTTAGTCCTTAATTCGTGCGTGACGTACCCCTACCAATACCAACGCAAATACCGTTGTTGAAGTTGACACTAAAGGGAGATTCCAATGGCAGAAAAGCTGACCCAAAGGTGCCACCCAACACCTTCTCAACCCTAAATGGCAAGGAGAGAACAGAGCAGAAATTGCCCCGGCTGCACTAGCTTCACACTTAACAGTTAGTCTCTTGACTGTCTCTTCAGAGTCACCTCTGGCCCAGACACGACCAGGGACCAGACGGACCAGGAATGGAAGGTGAGGAATAAAAGCAGGAGGTGAGGAAACTGACCTACGCGAGAAGACCTGGGGCGAGACTGAGAGGGTCAAGGGAGACTGAAGAGCCCCAGGGGCAGGGAGAGGTAGGGGAACACCTAGGAGTTCGGGGTGGCCGCCAGAGCTGGACGGCAGCTCCAGGACAGAAGCACGCCGAGAGAAGGGGGTGCGAGAGTAATGGGCGGTGCCTACAGTCGCTCCTCCACCACCCCACACCCCATAGACCCCCGACCCGGCGACGGGGCGGGGCCGTGGCGCCGGCCTCAGCCCCTTCGCGCCGGCACCCGCCCCCTCAGCCTCCAGTCTCCGGTAGGTGGGAGGGGCGGGCCTCACCAGGCCCGAAGGACAGCCCGACCCAAAACCCGAACGGAGAAAGCTCCGCCACAGGCGGAGTACGGGCGGGAGACCCCGCAGCCAGGGGCCGGCGGGGGGGGCTGAGGGCGGAGGAAAAGCATTCGGAGAAGCCGCCCCAGCCAGAGCTGAGTCCCAGGCACCCCTCTGCGGGCAGGGAGTGTAGCCTAGGTTCCCCACCGCCCTTCCCTCCTCTTCCCCCCCCCACGGCGTTGCCCCGGGCAACAGCGCCCGCCGCCGGTGGCGCAAAACTCACTTACCTAGAACCTGACAAGCAGGAGCCCCTCAGACACGGGAGCCAGTCACCACCCCGCGTCACGGGGGCCGCCACAGCCAATGGGCGCCGCTGTCACAAGCCTCTACGGCCAATCCAGATGCACTCCGGTCTCCGAGCACCCTCGAGGCCTCAGCCAATGGGCACGAACAGAAGGCGGTGCTGCTTACCGGCCCCCAACCCCCTCCTCCACTGCCTCCCAGGAGGCGGGGCGCGGCCGCTGGGCCCGGGCCCCGGAGGGTGGGTCTCGGACTCCAGGCCCGGTGGGCGTGCGCGAACACCGGGCAGCGGTTCGGCCAAGGAAGGCGTGAGGCTACAGCCGCCGCCCTCTGGGCCGGATCCCGGGCTGGGGCGGTGTCCTGTGGTCCGCCTGTTTGCTTTTCTCTCTTCGTTCCTGTAGCCCGCTCCTCTCCAGCATGTGTCCAGGACTGCCGGGTGGGAGTGAGGGGGGATGGCCCGGAGGCCGACAGCGGCGTCACAGGAAACTTTGGGAAACTCGCCTGGCCGCGGCCGGGAAGTGGCCGGGCCGGGTGTGATAAGCTGGGGCGGCCTGGAGGGGACTACCCGGCGGATCCGCAACTGGAAAGGAATTCGGAGGGTGGGGGCGGAGGCGTGATTAAAATATTAAGTGTGCCCTCAGGGTGCTGGGTTATCCGGGGAGCTGATATCTCCGGGGATGAAAGCGGCTTTGGGAACGGGCACTGTGCCCTCTAAATACTCATTTTTCGCCCTCAAAATCAGTGACTTTTTCCTGTGCGTTTTACTTGCATCAATTGTATTTTCCGAATGATTTTCAGCTCCCTCAGTGCACTCTGAGTGGCTTAAAGGCAGGAGCTGTCTTTCCCATCCCTGTAATTCCCGAGCCTAAAACCAAAAAAAGGAAAAAAAATGGATGGCTACACACTCAATGCTGAAATTGTGATGGATGCTGTTTAAAAGCGTCCTGTGGGTGGTCCTTATAATAAAAGTCCTTACCTCTTCAAGAGTCTAGAAGGTGCGAAGAACCGAAATTGGTTTGCGCTTCCAGGGAAGCTGTTTCTGAAGTGTCCTTCGCCAAAAGAATTTAATGGAAAATGAGTAATGTGAGCTAAACAAAGATAACTAGGTGATCTGAAACAGTATTAGTCACTAAATCAAGGGTGTGTTCCTGTGGCCGACTGTTTAACCTAGCAGATACTTAGGTTGTACCACATTCTTTGCCGGGAGCAAATCTAACTTCAACCAGTTCCACCTCCACCCTACATCCCTTTAAAACTTTGTGGGAGCCAGGCAACAGAGGTGAACGTATATACATGTATATTTTTTTCCCTAAACACGGTTATTTGTTGTGAAAGCCCTACACATAGAAAAACATAAATTTGAAATGGGAGTTTTTCTTGTCTTCTGTTTCAAAGAACCCAGAACAGGTTGTAAAGACAAATCAAATTTTAAGTGATTCATAACGATCTGATCAGATCTTTGGGGCGGAGTAGGGAGGGGTCCTAGGAAGAGGTTGCCCAAGGCAACAGAAGCGGCCTAGGACCGAATTGGCTAAGACCAGTGCTTCCAGAACACAAGGAATTACGGGCAGAGAAGATTTAAAACAAAAGGAGGGCAGAGAGGGCCTCTTTGCATCTCTTCCTCCCCGGTGCCTGGGTGGTTGGATGGACTGTGGCTGGGAGAAGAAACTGCGGGTGAAACCTGGGATAGGTCTGGCCTGGCAGAAGGTGGCAGGGTTCTTCGGATGTTTTGGAAGGGACAAGCTCTGAGGCAGAAGCCTGCCATCCATCTAAAATTGTGTAGTTTTTGTATCTTATGTTGTTTTGGTTTATAAATTAATCCTGTAGAAGTAAGATGCCAGGGGGAAATGATAGAACTCAAGTGTTAAAGCGGTTAGCCTTAATTGATAGGGTTAAGTGATTTAAGCTGTGAGTGACTGATGTCTGTGGAAAGGTGTTATTCCAAAATTGTGTAGCTTTTCAATAAAGACTCTTTTCCTTTATCACCAAACCTTTGCTTCCAGAAATTGGCCCAAAGGGGCAGCAGTGGGCAGAAGGACCCCACTTGCTGTTCAGTACCATAAGAGACTTAATTCTCCCCATTGATGATGGAGGAAGAAATTTTCCTTCTCAAATCATTTACCTTAGAAAACTTGTAATTGTTGAGTACTTGCTCATCTCTTTGAAGATAAATCTCAATGACTTGATAGGTCTTCTGTCAGGAAGTGCTTTGTCAGCTTTACTTGTTGGCAAGGTCTGGCTCGAGGACCTGGGAGCTAGTGCTTTGAAATGCAAATGTTAAGAGAAATAGCACACCTGAACAGATAAAGAAAGGTGGTGTGTATATATACATATAATGGAATATTATTCAATCTTAAAAAAACAAAGCTTGCTATTTACAACAACATGAATGGACCTCGATGTCATTATGCTAAGTGATGTTGGTCAAACAAAAAAAATACAAATACCATATAATCTCACTTATATGTGGAATTTTTTTTTAAAGCTTGTAGTGACAGAGAATGAACTGGTTTTCAGGAGTAGGGGTTGAAATAGGTGAAGGGAGTCAAAAGGTCCAAACATCCAGTTACAAATAAATTAGTCATGGGGATCCAATGTACAGCATGTTGACTATATTGCATATTTGAAAGACGCTAATAGTAAATCATGAATTCTCATCACAAGTTTTAAAAAAAAATTGTAACCATGTATGATGATGGATGTGGTAATCATTTCACAATATATACAAATATCAAATCATTATGCCATACACCTGATACTAACATATGTCAACTATACTTTCATCAAATAAAAGAGAGTGAGATAGCATCCCTATATCCCAGTTACTTTAGGGGAGTAGAAGCCTAACTTCATTGGGCAAATTGGTCCAAGTTGCAAAACTACCTTCTCTCATAAAGATATGTAAAGTTTGTTTTTCCTCTGGATAAAGCTAATTAGCTAATACAGATAGTCATTTCAATTACCAAATAAAGTTAAGATGTATTATGTGTCCAAATGGTGTTGACAAGGTCTAACTTGAGGACTAGTTACAGTTTAAAACATGCAATCTGTTAAAACTGCTTGGCTATATAAAGGGTGAGGTTCTTTCTGTCTCTGCAGTCATTTTGCTGATTTCCCATAATGCACATCACATTCTGGCTTAATGCTTATTCAGTAACCAGTGTTTTATTTCTTCACAACCTTTGTGGGGGGGATTTCTGGTCTAGGAGAAGATTTTGTTCATTTTATTTCCCCATCAATCCTTATGCCCAAAATATTGAGACTATGCCCAAAATATTGAGACTACAGACTTAAGGAAAGTAATTACTTTTTAGTTTTAATTTGTTCTCAAAATGATCTCACATTAGGTGATACCTTTGAGACAGGATAGTAAGAAGCTAGGAAAATTGGCAAGTGGAATAAGGAAACAGACAGCCAGCAGAACACAATGGCCAAGCAATTTAT